GCCAACACCATAACAGCAAGTACTTCCCCGGATGCAGCGTTCGCTCTTTATTATGGCAAATATCAAACAGCTGCTGTGAAAATTAAGCGCGTGGCACAACTTGTCGAATCTCGTTTAGAACGCAGTGTAGAATATGAGCAGCTGCTAGCGGAAATGCATCAAAATTATCTAAACGAAAGGGCAACTATTATGTCACCAGCTGTTAATAAAGCTATACAAGAGCTGAAGGCGGCACACAAGGGAGATCATTGTGCGCTCACGCGCAGCGCTTGCTCATTCCTAGTGCATGTTTGTCAGGATGAGCAAAGGCTCTTTTTCCAGTTTTTCGCGCGGGGCAGCGATCAATTGACGTAAGAAATAGTAGTTATTTTTCGAGCTAAATTAAGATTTAAACAAAATTTTGCTACTTATAGCACTTATCTGGAAGGCCTGTGTACCATATTGTACGATACAATGCGACCTTTCATTATACATATTAACCACTTGGAGACATTGGCGGAAATATGTTCGATTTTACGCATTGAAATGCTTGAGGAGCATGTACAACAAAATCGTGAGTTACCAGAACTACGTCTATTTCAAGTATATGTTTATTAATATAATTTGTGTGCAGCTGGCGCGCTCGAAGCTTTTGCAAATACCGCAAATCAACTACTGCAGGATGTACAGGAAAGGTTGGTTTTCCGTGCGCATCTCTATTTACAATCGGACATTTTGAATTACAATCCGTCGGCTGGTGATCTGGCCTATCCAGATAAATTAGAGATGATGGAGGTAGAGTAATATAACTGTTTTCTTACAAATTTTTTATTGGTAGCAAAATATACATAATTGTTTTTTTTTTGTGCAGAGCATTGCTTTATCACTGCAGGAGCCACAGCACCTGCGTCGTTATGACTCGCGGTCTTCGCTCAATTCAAGTATTTCAAGTGCAATAGAAACGGAAAGCGTAGATACTGCATATCGAGCACGTAATATAAGTAATATCACTATTTTTAATATGAAAATGTACTACCTAAATCTAATCGTATCGCTTTCAGATTCATCTCCGGCGGATTTGCATGGCATGTGGTATCCCACTGTACGTCGTACATTAGTATGTCTTTCGCGTCTTTATCGTTGCGTGGATCGACCCATATTTCAAGGTCTCTCGCAGGAGGCACTCAAGCTATGCATACAAAGCGTGTCCGCAGCCGCTTCCAAAATTTCAACAGCTAAGGTAAAAGAAAATGTGATTTATTCCTTGTTTAAATCTCTGCCAATTATCACATTCTGCTCTCTACAGACCCCAATAGATGGCGAACTGTTCGAAATCAAGCACTTGCTAATATTGCGGGAACAAATAGCTCCCTTTCGTGTTGACTTTACCATCAAGGAGACTTCGTTGGATTTCAGCAAAGTAAAAACTGCTGCTTTTGGTCTTTTACACAAACGTAAACAGCTTTTCACCATGGGCAGCAATAATGCCCTGCTCGAGTTTCTGCTCGAAGGTACACCACAGATAAAGGAACATTTACTTGATTCACGTAAAGAAGTCGATCGCCAACTCAAAATGGTGTGTGAGCAATTTATTAAGGACGCGGTGCATATGTTAGTTTCACCAATCTTGCAATTTTTGGATAAAGCACAAGCATTATTACAAACGAAGGACAGCAAAGTTGCCGCAAATGAAAAAGAAGCTGCTGCACCAAAACTAAATTACGCCTTACGCCAGAGCGCATGGGCAAGCCCACAGCAAATTAGCAGCATCATTCAGGAAACACAACGTTTAATCAAAAGTAAACTATCAACACTGCAGCGTTCAATGCAACTATACTTAAGTAATCGTGATACTGAATTTATAATATTTCGACCGATACGAGTGAGTACCTAAACTTGCATATATGTATGTACATATGTAGTTGACTCCCTTTAATAACTATGATTTCCACAGAATAACGTCATTCAAACATTTGTTAAACTGGAACAAATACTAACCACAAACGGTTACAACAACGACGATATGACCATCACTGGCTGTCCAACGGCTGAACAGGTGTCTGTACTATTGTCCAGCGCAAGTATACTGGCGACTGAAGGTATAGTAAACTTCTCAGCGGCGGCACGAAAAATCAGTACCTCATCAAATGAGGAGACAGCGATAGGTGTAGCGGCCCCGAGAAGGACAAGCTTCGAAAAACGTGTGTCGTTTGAAGGTGGCGCAACGCCAGTAACTACTATGGAAAATCTCCCCGAAATGCCCGAATCTGGCTCGTCTGCTGCATCACCGGCACCACCTCTAACGGTTTCGGATAACAATGAGAATGAAGAAGGCATAGCGGCGAAAATTGCTAGGTAGTTCCGTTTACCCGTTAGATGGGAGCTCACGCAATGTATAACGTTGATGGTACGCTACACGATTTGAATTAAAAATTTAATTTGTGTTATTATTCTTACTTAGTTTATGTATGCATGTATGTATATGTTTCGTTGCTTGTCGACAACTTATATTCCATAGGCCAGCCTATTAACCTACATATTATTTTTTCAAATATTAATATAGTGAAATATATTCAGCTACGACTTATCTATATATATATGCAAAATGATTTTCAATTTAATGCATATGTACATACTGTTACTCCCAAAACTAAGCGTACGGCTCTTTTTTGTTAATATTCGCAATGCTTAACATGATAACAATTTCCAGAATTTTTTTAATATGAAAAAAGTGCGAAGGAGAGTCAACAGAAAAATTCTCAAAAATCAACGCGAAGTTTTAGACATTTGAAATTCGCACATTATTATATTAAAATTTAATGAGCTATAAAACTGCATAACTGAATTCTTTTAAGAACTTCGTATTAAATAGTTCGCGATTTTGCTGAAACTTTGTAGATTTTTCTTAATTTTCGTACACTGCTTCATTCTTGGATCGCTAAAATATAAGCCATATTTTAATACAAAATAAACAAAAAGGTTTTAGCATGTAATAAAACATTGCGAATATTAACAAAAAAGAGCCGCACGCTCAATTTTGGGAGTAACAGTATGTATGTATGTATGATAGAATGTGTAGTAAAAAATGTTGGTCCGAACGGATGCCCATGTTTACCATGCGGAACTGGCGCTAGCAAAGGAAGTTGTCCCATGCGTTAGAAAGAACAACTTAGAAGATTTGCATGTTTCAATAGACGCAAATCTCCACCGCGCTAAGGATAGGTTTTTTTACATTTTCGGGCTAGTTTCAGATTCGCAAAAAAATTATAAATTTAAAATTTGAGCAGCAACGAGCACAATAACGTTAAATTGATAGTTCACTTGATGGTTTTTCACTTATGAATCAAAGAAACACAGCTAAATATGCATATATTTATTGGTTAAAATTTGAATGTGTAAAATTCTTCTTCTTCTTCTGGCAGTTTGACAATTTTCGCAAACTCGACCGGAAAAATAGCCCGGCCGAGGTCGGGTTAGCGAGCAAAAGAACTAGCCCTGGGTAGTAGCTCAATTTTTTTTGCGCTAACTCAATAACTCCGGCGCCAACTGTGGTGTCAGCGCAATAGTGCAGTGTACTGATTAGAAAAGCTGTGCGACGTAACCTCTATAGTAAAAAGTAGGGATGTCAATGGCAAAAATACATCGATGTTTTTCATTAGTTGCGTTCCAGATGCTTCACGATATTCACGATTTGCAGCAATAGCTGTTTTCTCCATTAGGTCGGTGTTATGCAGAAATTTTGTTTGGCAAACTGCGTGCAATTGTTGTTGCAGCAAACTCGGAGAGAGCGAGTTTGGCGACTCTCACAGCAAACTACTTTTGTTTGGTCAAACTGCAGCAAATTCGGTGTTGTCATATACAAAAATTTTGGCAGTTTTTGCTATACACAAAAATTGCCGTGATACCGTAAGCCAGAGAACTGAATTTATGCTGTAGGAGCTTCAAAGATTAGGGCACAGTTAATTGCCTATACGATATCATAAAAAATATATTAATTGTGCGCGTTATGTATATCTGAAATTCTCATTTCGTGTTGGCAATAGCCATGAAAACCATAATGAACGTGCAACCCTGTGCCAAACTCGACATAGCCACCTCCGAGCAAACTAAGCAGCCGCCATTTAATTTGGCAAACAAAAGTTTGTCTGCATAACACCGACCTTAATAAACCTTATGGAAGGTGGCCACCTGGAACAACTTCCTGTAAAAACCTGCAAATCGTGAAACATCTGGAACGCAACTTTCGATTCGATGCATCGAAATGTACATCGATATTTGTCGTTGCATCGAAAGGCATACATCGATTTGCATAGGATTTCTCAAATAATGTTTCAAACAAAATATGTTATTAGGACATTTGTACATAATTTGAGATAAAGTACAGCAACTGAGCTAATTATGGAACTTTTTGGAGCCATTCATAAAGCAATTTAAGTGAAAAATGATTTTTATTTTTTTAATTATATATGGAAATTGACAGCAAAATAAAAAAGCACTTTCCATTTAAATTGCTGGTGAAACCGGCTGTAAAAATAGGAATTTCAAAAATTTCATTTACTCATTTTTGGCACTCAGTATGCAATAATCAGCATCAGTTTCATTTCCCCGAACCGGTTCACTTTTCACTTTTGGTTTCCATGGTTTTACTATGTGCGGATGACAAATTTTCGGGTGCAACTCAGGATAAGACAGAATATTTTTAGTAAAGAAAAAATTTGCTAATTCCTAATCAACTGTGGCGCCAAGACGAATTTATACATATATGCCCTGGGATGCACTTGCATCGCAGACAAGCTTCCCTCCCTCCTTGTGGAAAGCTTTGTGATCTTGGTAACGTAAAAGGCGTGACGTAAAATTTTATGCGGCTGTATGGCGTGGGGTTTTTCACTACAAGCTTCTTTAAGGCAGATAACTCCGGAAAAGGGATCGAACCGAAACACAAATGGTGGCCACAACTTAACCGTGGTGTGTCATAGGATTCATCCAGATGCAAATAGTTGTTTGCGAACAAATATAAAATATCTGCTGGCGAATACAAACTTTATTTAGATTTGAGATTATTAATTACCATGGCTAATGTTTCTAATTTTAATCGTTTTATTTCTAGCTCTGTTTCTCGCGAGGACTGTTGAATGCGGTGCTTTTCCTCCTTGATCGCCAGGAATCTTTGTTGCACGGCCAACAACTTCTCCTGCGTCTCCAACAACTTATCTATTTTTGCATCCATATTTCTTTGAAAGTCTGCAACAGATTTTAAATTCATTTGGAGGAGTTTCAACTCTTCATCACTCCCACTTGCTGGTCTTTGTATGTCGCTGCGTTGTGTTTGGAGGAGTTGCAACTCGTCATCACTCTCACTTGCTCGTCTTTGTATGTCGCTGGGTGGCGTTTGGAGAAGTTTCATCTCTTCATCACTCCCACTTGCTCGTCTTTGTATGTCGCTGCGTGGTGTTTCGCTACGAGTGGAAGTGAATGCCGATGGAGATGGGCCCGGCAAGGCACTATGGGTTGAGCTTGCCTCTCTGTCGCCGAAATTGCTGTCACCACTGTCACTGCCGTGCTTGTATGATTCTGCAGATGGTGCATTTCCGCACGCTGGCTCACTTTTGTCGCTTTCATCACAAGCCTTCAATCCGGCGGCCTCAAGTATCAGCTCCTCAGAGGCAGTAATGACCTTCTCAGTATAGATTCCTCCTCCAGATTTATTGTGGGAAAGTTTTTTCTTCGCCTGATATTTTAGATCGGCGAAAACCTGTAATCAAACGCAAATGTCAAAATGTCCTAATAAAATTTAAAATGAAAATCATTGTGAGAATACCTTCTTCCACTTCCGCCAATCCTTAAATGGTGGGCCTACTGCATTTAGTTGCATAGAAAGCTCCTCCCAGAGACTGATCGATTTAGCTCTGCCTTGTGCGAAATTAGAAAATTTGCTCTTAGCCAAGTTGGGGTGCTCGGCCATAAACTCCACCATTACATCCTTTTGGGTAGGGTTCAGTTTAGTATAATTGGACCTTAAATAACAAAAAGTGTTAAATCTTTTATTCCTACACATTTCAACAATTTACTTACATTTGCGTTGTTTGGTTCGCGCTCGATTGACAGGTAGTGTTCGAATGACATTTCGAACGAACGAGTACGCTCACCACTAGTTCCCGTATTTCATCAAATCGAATTACGATATAAAAAATTCGTTCACATGTGACATCAAACCGAATTACGATAAAAACAATACGTTCACGATGTCAAAATCCGAAAAATGTGAGTTTTACGTGACGTTAATTCGATCACGTATGAGACCAAGGTGAATTTATAAATGGTGGTGTTACTAGATCAGCTGATTTTGTGTGTATATTTCGCCTCACGGCTTAATACTGTCAAACTGAAATATTTCTTTTTTTTGGATTTTCACACACATTTTCGCCTTGCGTGAGAGGAGTCGAGCCCTGTTGAGATCTATCAAATGCTAGTACGCTAGTAAATAAAAATACTTCTTTTATATTTGAAGTGAAAAAATTTTATATTTATTTATTAATTAAATTTTTCACAAAAAGGACGGATACAGTGTGGCTTATAAAAAATGTATTTTTATAAAAGCTTTTCGTTTGCAATTTCTTTGCTTAATATTTGCTTGTATATACATACGCATGAATGTCTGTAATTATTAAACATATATTTTTAAGCTTAAATTTATACAGTAAGACTATTTGTTTGTGTATACGTCACTAACAACTACTACAGGTGTTCGTTTTATTCAATAATACAACTTCAATAAAAAAATGTATAAGGTAGTATAAATTTTAGTTTTAATTTCGTCTCATTTTATGACTTTAATAAAGAAAATGCACTTTTGATTGCAATGATATGCTCTACTTAACTAAGATACAAGGCTTTTGCCGTTTATAAGACACATTTGTATTCTCTTCATTTACGCACTTAGTACGCAACATTTTTAATTAATTCGAGATTGCTATTTATTTCAAGTTACGAATCCTATTTGAGATGTAGAGCTACCTGAAGTCTCATGCTATATAAAAAAAAAAAAATACGTACTTAAATATCAGCTCATTTAGCTTTGTACATATGAGATTTTCAGTGTTTATACTTAACATAAAATTATTGATTATTGTTGGATCTCATCGTTTAATTACAATCAACGCTTTTCAACAAAGATTAGCATACTGCATTTGATTAACATAAAAGAAAAGGTTACGAAATATAAATAAATTGTAGCAAAATAGAGTTGGCGCAAGAACCGGTTGTCAACTAATGACCACAGTATTGGACGGAACACGGTTGTTGAGCGTTGCTCTGGCAACTAAGTTACATTTAAAAACTACGTATGTTTCGTAACGTTGGTTTTTTCGGATTTTTTTTTTACATAAATATTCGAGCGACTATGGAACCAGCTGAGCATGCTATTCCACTGTATTACATCCACTTGTCTTTTCTAGCTTATACTATAGGTATTTTAAATGGTGTGCAGTATGTGAACACTAAAGATTTGTATATGAAAAAAAATAATAGTTGAGGGTAAAAATCGTCAATTCTAAGCTTAATATTAAACACCACCTCAAATATTGGGACCAGGAAAAGTGTACAGGAACGGCACAAATTTTTGTTTTTAACTATCTTAGGGGTGGCTTATGTGAACAAATACAGACAATTAAGCACTACATGCATTCGACTGCGCATTAGATATATAAATACGCTAAAGAATAGAAGTGACACAGACATAGTAGCTCGCCAACCCATATTGTAAATGGAACAGTATGGACACTGCGAACTGCCGCACACTTCACAAATGTTCAGCAGGTATGTGGGTAACGCATCGAAAATGGACTCATTGAAGCGCTCTGTAAAGTATAAGATGTGAAAACAATAAATCAAAATTTTAGTATAAAAGTAGACAATTAACAGAACAACATCGAAATAAACTCATTCCGTACCTGGCGCATAGTAGTCGTAGACTCGTATGGGCAAATAACGTGACATATTCGCCACTGGGAACCAACGTTCGATAGTGAAATTAACACAAATATCCTCTTGATCAAGCTGCAACGAAAAAAACAGAGAAAATTCGTTTACGAAAATTCAGTTATTTAAAAACCACAATACTTACATAGTCAAAGTAGAAGATAACTTTCTGGTGAGTGTATTTAGCCCGACGTAAATTTCGCACACGATTGCTTAGCACGTAGTGATCGAGACGTTGTTGTTGTATCCAATAGCCAGTAGGTATAGCGACATCAAGCACCGCCATACCGGAGCGTTCCGATTCGCGTGTATTAATCCAACTGAAAAAAGTTTATAATTAACAAAAAGTTCATTTAGTACAAACAAAATTTAGTTCAAGCAATTTCCTCACTTTTGACAAGCGACGTATGATATATGCGACTGATTTCTGCCGTGGAAGATGGCTCTAGTATGCAGACCGAATGCTGGCACAGGCGGTTTCGTCTGGAATTTCGCTATGTCAACATTGTATTGCACATGCATTTGCAATATCGCATAACCAGCACCTTTGGCTTGCACCTTAACTGTTCCCCAAGATTCGGGTATCTGTTGGGGAAAATAAGAAAACATTAAAAAATATGTATATATGTATTCTTAAGCCCCACTCCCAATCAGTAAACTCACCTCAATACTTTGCAGCTGCGCCAAATTCGTGTCATCGATATGTAAGGCTTGTATTTTGCCGCCTTGCGATGACGCCTCTACTTCCACCGTCAAAGATGAAACCTCACGTATACGCGAATGTACTGTATACTCGACAAGTGCACGCAACGCTGCACTGGTATCTTGTGTAGATGCCCAGCCGCCATCGTTCAGACGTTGCGCATTCAACCAACGTACTATTGGATCGACAATAAATTCACGGCGAGAGACGTAAACTAGCAACGCATAAGCAGTTGTCTCAATATTCATAGCATCAAATTCGTATGGCAGCCGCGGTAGTGAGAACCATTTTTGATTTTCTAATTTCTTTGGCGGTTGTGGCACCTCTTTGCTACCCCAATACATAAAATCACCGATTACGCGTGCATGTCGCCGCAATATGGAAAAGACATGCTCAGCCATTGGTGACTTGCAGAGTAGGAGGGCATATGCAGTGATGGCTACGTCATATGGCTCTTCGGTATCTTCCAAGAATTGCATATTGCGTTCGATCCATGATATGGCGCGTTGTTGTGCCAGCGCAACACGCGCGCCCAGCGAACCGGAAAGATCTTTAACCGAGGCCAATGAGATAAGTACGTGCGAGGTGAGCGTAACGTTGCGATTTTGTAAACTAGTATTATTGGCAAAATTCGTGCGATTCATCTTGCGATCTGGCAGCCAAGTGACTTCGTAGAAACCACCCTCAGGCGTCTGATGTTGCAATAACCAACGCATATTCTTCTCGATGATAGTTGGGTCAATCCAAATAAAATTTTCCCATTCGTAGAAGGAAGCTTCCTGTTGGAAAAAAACGAAATAAAACAAAAAGAAAAATGGAGCATTAAAATAGATACGGTATCGGTCATATCCAAAGCTACCCCATTTCAAAGTTATGTTGTTTGCCGCTTATGTTTATTTATTTTTAAGACTTCTCAATTAAAATACGGTTCATTCTGTTACAAAAGCTATGCAAAACCACTGTGTGTTAACCCCAAGTTTAAATTTTTTTTTGGATAATTGCAAAAAAAAAATCAACAAATTTTCACCAATATCCATTTTTTTTTTTGTCAGAAGTGTTCGAGTTTTTTTGTGTATACAGTTTTACAGCCCATTCAATTTTAGTCTGATAATGCGAAAGTTTCGTGTAGCTAAATATTACCATTGATTTTTTAGAATTTTTTTATCGTATTGACTTCCATATAACGAATAAATACAATTTATTTGCGTATGGAAAAAAACCGCAACACCCTCGGCAAAAAAATTCTAAACTTAAAAAAAAAAAACCTGGAACTGTCCCGATAAGAACAGGAGAATAACTTGAGACTCTCCTCAAAAGCTAAAAAAAAAACTTCTATTTACAGTATCTGGGTAAACAACGATATAGCTGACAGTCTGTCCACGACAGTTGAGTCTACGTAACCGGAATGATCCAGATGTATATCTGGCCAAGGACTGTCACTTCAGCCCGAAAACCCGTTTTGTGGTTAGCCGCGATTTTTGGGAACGAAAAGCTCAGTACATTGCATAAATCATTAAAAATAAACTGAAACTTCCTCAATTCACCATCACTCACCTGGAAAATACGGACGCAATACGCAGTTAACCACACCGACGAGGCAGAGTTATTCCAATCCGACCGGAAGAGTGAGAATGAGCCATCTGGGCGCATGAAGCTCAATTGGCGTTGATAGCCAATATTCATGTGATAGAAGGCATGCTTTTCCGTTGTCTTATTACGTTGATTAATCAAACGCATATACATGATTGTGTACAGATTCGCAGCGAATGAGAATGCATTCTGTTCCGCCGATTCCATAGGTAAATAGAGCAGTGAAGTAGCATTCACTGGCATCGTAGGGAAAATCGGTCCAACCACATCACCCACAACGGAGATACGTGCTCGATTCGAGCCATAGACAAAGTAACGATCCACTTGGTATGGTATCTCTGGTGTTTGTGTAATATTCACATGCATATATTCAAGTACGTAAGCGCGATTCGAAAGATCCAAGAGTATGGATTGATGGCGATATTGCGGCAAACCATCCGATTCAACATGCAGACGCCGTGTAATTGTATCCGTACCCAGCAAGGTGGCCACATGCAATGTTACATCAATATCACCCAACTTTTGTGGCACCACCGGCACATAAACCACCGTAGTACCCTGTGCATCCAAGTAGATGAAGAACTGATGCTCACCAAAAGAGGTACGTGGATTGTAGGAACGTACAATACCATTTTCCTCGACATGCACAAACTTATAATCCTTGCTGCCATGCAACACTACCGTTGCCTCTATGGGCGTGGTCATGTAATTGAAGACAGTCACACGTATGCCAACCTGTTCGCCTTGTCGACAATGCGTGGGCATCTCGACGTTGATGAAAAACGGTTGTACGCCAACATACTCAATCGCTTTGTTCAACATACCGAAACCTTTCGAGGGGCTAACACTGAAGGCGCTCACCATCCAGTAGGCAGGGCGATCTGGCACCTCAACATTGAATATATAACGTCCATGCGGTCCAATATTTACATCTTTCCATAGCCAAACATTTTCGTAGTGTCGCAAAATGCGATTAAAACGATACTTGCGATAATCTAATAGTTCGGTGTCATTGCGTATGCGACAACCAATTTCATCGGTACCATCATCACAGTCAAACTGCCCATCGCATTTCTTATTTAGCGGATAGCAACGTCCGGACAGGCACTCGCCGTAACCGAGTGTGCGATTACAAGTGTCGTAACGACGCGGTACATAGCCATCCGTGAACACAATTAACCCGCTGTATTCGAAGGTGCGATTCGCGTCGATGCCGAACGAGGAGGCGGGG